AACTAGTAACGTGGCCTTCAGCAGGCGGAACACGCTCTGATTAAGTAAGCTAAAATCTTCCTTTAAATACTATCTCCTACTACCTCATTTGAATAAACACGAACTAAAGTATTCTGGCAGGAAAAAAAAAGAAATCGGGAATGACAGTAAAGGTACTGAGTATAAAATAACTGGTTAGGTAAAATAAATAAATACCTTTATTAATAGCATTCGACTGTAGCTACTTTTTTTTTTCCCGCTCACTTTGACAGTTCTACTAAATCAGGAGCTGGGTAAACAGGCTGTCACCTCCTAACGAAATATAAATTGCAGAAAATAATTAGCTCTTTAGAATTAGGCTACATTTCTCTCTCTCTAACACATTAAATTTAAGTATATTTTGAAAACTTTCACTATCGCCTTAACGCTATCTACGGCATAATTCATTGGTAATAATTGACAGCGTTCTTGAAGGTTTATACAAAAAATGATCGATGGTGTATTTATCGTACCTGTTATCTTTTTTAGCAAGAATTCTGAATTATTATTTAAATAATGTACAATAATATGGTACATTATTCATGAACTCACTCTTGAGGATTGTGTCGATTGATACATATTGCAACATGTCAATGCTATGATTCAAAAACTGATAACCATTAAAAAAAACAAAGGCTGAAAACAAAGGCTTAATTTGATTGATGATCATATGCTGAAACCGACTACATCAGTAACGTACAAATTGGTGCTTACTTCAAGTTTTTAAGCCTAATGAAAATTAAAAAAATAAATTACTCTTTTTACATAGCTACAGCATCAAGGCACTTACATCACAAAAATTGCGAACGGATTTGAGGTTGATTTTATGTAAAAAACTAAACATTTCAAGGGGCACCGACATTTGTCCTTCAGCTTTAAAAAGGTTATTATAAGATACTTTCTTCCTCTTTCCGCATGACTTTGTGGTGTAACTGGAGGCATACTCGACGCGTATGCTAGAGGTCCCAATTTCGACTCCCGGCGAGGGCACTGCACATTTTGATGTCTTCTGCTTCAAAAAAATCTAATGACTCTACAAGTGGCGCCCGAGTTAAAAGTTGTTGGATGATAACTCGTCCCCACCAGGATCTGGCGAGTAAGTTCCCTAGTTCCCAGTCACCCTTTTAAGGTACATAAGGTATTTTGACCCTCCTTTCCGCATGCTTTCGTCGTGTAATTGGAAGCATAACTCGACGCGTATTCGAGAGGTCCAGGGTTCGAGTTCCGGCGAGAGGCACTGCACATTTTCAACGTTTCCTGCATCAAAATCCGTTGCTTCCTGAAAATGAGGGATCCTTGTTAGCATCCATCGAAAAGTATAGAGTTTTACAAAACCAATTTCAGACTGGAGCTGAATATTCTTAATTTCCATTGTTATTCGTCATAAATAAAATTTCCGTTTGAAATACAATATATGAATCTTAGTTATAAATCTAAATTTTTGTTGGGTTAATTAATTACTCTAGAGCATTCAAGGCAATAATAATTATAATGGCTTCTACAGAAATTCCGGAAAGTTTCCAGGGTCAAGACAACTTTTCTTCATACAGATTTTGATTCATTTTAATAAAATTTTATTGATAAATTATTCGTTATTTTAAAATTTTAATAATCAAATTGCAAATTAAAAAATATGGTCTTAAAATCTTAAATATGCGTATTGTAAAACAGTATCTAGAATTATTTGGCATTCAGTAACAATCTCTGGTATTCATCCTGTTTTCAAGTCCAAACGCTGATAGACGTCTAACCTGTCATCCATTCAAATTCACTCAGTACGATTTTATGAATGATAAGTTAATTTGCAAAATTAAAAGTGCGTAGAAAATTTTTAAAATCTCAAGGTTTTCACAATTTATATTACGTCCAAAGGGGCTTATTTTTTAACGTTTTGTGTGTCACCTTTATTTATTTATTATTATTATTTTCACTTAAACCATAAAATTCAATTCAACAGTAATATTACAAAATAATTTTAAAAGAGTAGTTTCGATACACAGTCTCGCGCGCTGGAGATTTACAAAGTATGAAATAGATAATAAAACTAATTCCAAATTTGGGATTCCAGATGTCCATATTCGGGTGGAAGATTATGTTAGGTAGCGTTGTTTTATCACAGTGTGAGAAACATGCATACATTTATGCAGATTCTTCACCATTTAATTTCTTTAAATATAATGCAGGGGGATAATATTTGGTGGCAACAGTTTGAAAAGTGAAAAGCCGTTTATAGTGAAACCCCACAAAATGCCAAAATGAAATTAATAGCCTTTCTGAGCTAACAATCTTTGGGCTAATAAAGAAATCTAACATTTAAAAAAAAAAACTCTAAAAACTCTAATTATTCAAAATATAATAATTACCAATGACTATTGGTTTTTTTTTAAATGCAGTAACCTGTTAATGAATAAGATGTAGACATGTGTATTTTTATGCAAATCTTCGAGTAAGCTAAAACATATTTCAAGTGGATTTTTCAAAATGTGCTTTTCTAAGGTTTCTCCGGCGCTTGTGAAAAGTTAATTTATGCAAAAGTGTTTGCTCTTCGGAAAGTAAGCTGCATCGGATGGTGACTGAAAACTGCAAAAAATTAACACATTAACTCAGTCCGGTAGAAAGAACAGGATTATGTTTATAAATTACAGCAAAAAAGTGTGAATTTAAAATGAAGTATGTTTTCGTTGATGACTTCCTAAGGGGAAATCTCAAGTAGCTAGCTTGTTCTGCTGCTAAAAGACGAACACATACGAACAGATAGCGTCGTGGTATTTGTTCTTCGATCGTAGCTGGACACATCTGGCAGAGAAATCTTGTGCAAATTATCAATGTTGTCAGGCTTGTTGTCCATTGGTGAAATATTTAATTTATTTAAAAGACATTACTCGTTTGGTGGCAGTCTGATAATGATGGCAAAGCTCGAGAATATACTAGTGTTCACTGACATTGGTCGGAGTTCGTTTGGTTCAGTTTTATTAGGGGAAAACACACTAGGAGTACCTGCCTAAGGAGCCTTCGTGGAAGACTTTCTAAGGGAAACTGCCTCGTATACGCGTTGCACATGGGGAAAACCGCAAAACGCCCATGCAGCCAGTCCGTTTGCATATAAGCATTCTGTACCGCGCCACACACATTCCGAAAAATCCCTCCTCGTGATTGGTTATGGCTTCTGATGGCATCGTTTTCTCTACGCTTAGGAATGCCTTGACTTTGCTTGAGCTCAAGGGAACACCTCTATACCGTTTGTTTGCATTTTGGTAGCAGTACCGAAAGGATTATTACGTGCGTTGTATTTTTGTTGCTATGAAATTATGCTTCTTACAACACTATAGTGGGGTGAATTTAATATAAAAAATGTAGTGATTTTTCCCCCTAGAGAGGAAAAGTATTATTTCTTCTTGTGCTAACTCCGTAAATGTGTATTAGCGCAGAGTTTTAATAAATATAGTCTTAAATTAAAACCATTCATATTAAAAGTGTTGTGATTATTAATTAATTATTTCACGTTCATTATACATCCATTGTCTGCTGATGCAATCTGCAAAAGCATGAGACAAGTCAGTTTTCGGAAATAGCAGATACGACGTTGGGAAGCTAACATTACACAAGCACACAATAAATTTACAATTTTTATAATCATTCTTAAAAAGTAAAATTTATTTTTGAAATTAAACTAATAAAGATTTGCAACAAAGCAATAGAGATACGTATTTTAAATTGAATGATATTACTTTATGAAAATAGCCCATTTTTAATGTGTAACATCTTTTGTACCTTTGCATAAAAATAGCGTTTGTCAGAGAAGGACGTTTCAACAGGAAGCCATCTGTAATTTTTTCGTTTCAAAGGAAAAAAAAATAATAATTTTCCCGCTTCTGTGTCACTGAGGCACGTTATTCAATGAAAACAAAACCATAAGAACCCCTCCTAAACGTCATTAGGCCAAGAAGAAATGATGTCATCTGAAAGTATGTCCAATCACAAGTACAGATTTTTCCCTATGCGCGTGGTGCGGTGCAGAATGCTTATATGCAGGCCGTTCTCCTGGATTCGAAACTATGTCCGAACAACCCGTTTTCATCGATTTTACCGCTCTGCTGCTGGTGGGTTCCGGACCGGCGTCGGAAACCTTACTTTTTTTAATAGAAATTTAAAATTAACTTTAATTTAAAATTAACTGGAATATTTGCCAATTTTTAATTTTGCCAACGAGTTATAAAACAGAAACCATTGTAAACGCTTTGGAAGATATCATAAACTTTAATTAATACTATTAAAATCTGTTCGCATCTGTCTGTTTGTTTGTAATATCATCTCATCCGGAACGGCGGACTTGAGTTTCAAGACAAGTACCACCGGATTCCAAAAATCGTGGGAAGACATTTCAACTATTCCCATCGTCGTACGACTTTAATTCGTTGAGATATTAATTAAAAACACTAAAACCGCTAATTTTCGCACCCTGCAAGTTGCTTTTTTCCCTGAACTTCATTGCAGTTCGGAGTGCTCTATCGAAGTGCTTACGAGATGAAATTTTAAAAATGCCATCCGTCTCTTCTAAGCTGATGTAGAGAAAACAAATTTTATGTAATAGAACTTATTATAAATTTTTCTTTGGCCCCGCAGCTTGCTTATGTGGCGGGCTTGCCCTCTACTTAAATATGAAAAAAGGGATAATTGTTCAGATAAGTGTAGGTTAGGTGTTATTTGGAAACGGCAAAACCACGAGGGCTATTTGCTTAAGATGAAAGATGATCTCATGGAAGCTTTTATGGAACAAAATGGCTTGTATTTACATTGAGAAAAAACACATAACCAACCATGCAGGCAAGCGCGTAGCGTGCGATCAAGCCTAATCCAGATCGAACTAACAGTATTCAACAGTCTTAACCACTCAGTATATAGGTAGAGCGGATAAATGTTGAGAGGAGTAAAAACTTCAGGAAGTATATTTATGTTCTCAAGTATTTTTGTTTTCTTTTTAGCCTCATCAGTGAAAGACTGGTGAACACTGGCAATCCGCCCCAGGTTGGAATCCCTCCAAATGGGCTAGCTGCTTGGGGTTGACATGATTTTTCTCCGGTCTAATATGAATATCAGCCGATTTCAAGTAAGAAGTCCTCCACGAAGGCATCTTTTTCTTAGGAAAATAATCATACCTTGTTTTGCTTTAATCAATTAATTAACATATTAATAATTATCTATTTTCTGAAAAAAATACATACGCATATTAGCAAAATTTTAAGAAATTAGGCGGAATTGAAGATAGTGATAGAACAGGCTAAAAGTGTGGCTAATAATTTACAGCAACTGAAATAACAATTGGGATTTCACGTAGCAATGAATGAAATACATCAGTAAAAACTATAATAAAGTTCTATCCCGTAAATTAATTTATTGGTGTACGTACAGACGAAATTCATTCTTCGTTGCTCATTATTTTATATATAATATATATATTTTTGAGAATTTTACAAAAATTTTTTTTTAATTTAAAATTAACATCTTCTGAAAATAATCTATTAATATTAAAGAATCTTGTCAATTTAATACAAATATAAGGTTTTCTTAACTATTTATGACACGCAGCCTTAAACAATTGGCAAGACACGCTGATACAAGTAATTATTAAATAACTTTAAAGTCGCATTTCATGGTTGTAAAATGGAGGGGAAAAGAAGAAGAAGAAAAGAAGAAAAGAAAGGCGTAAAAAGTGTTCGTTAGGCCTCACAACTATCTTAGAAGTGAGAAGGAAAAAGGAATTATCTTATTTCTTCGAAGACAGATTCTTTGCTTCTACATTTAAAATCCTCATTTATCTAAAACGTTATAAAGCATCAAGAAATACAAATAAGTAAGTAAAGTAGTAAGTAGTAAAATGATTAAGTAAACAATTTAATAAAACAAATAAACAACGTGTAAAATATAAATAAATTACTCGTACCTTCAAAATGCTTTTTTAATATTAATGTCAAGTAGCTTTTTATCATGTGACATCTAATAATTTTTCGAACAGTTTCTCAAAATAAATAAATAAGGGAGGGAGAGCAAAAAATCGTAGCAGCAAAATTTTCTGTTTCTTAGACCGCAAATTTTTGGCGAAAAAATTATTTTTCTCTAACATGACAAATGTTTATTCTTTAAATTTAACGAAGAAATAATTTTTAGACGTAACATGTTAATTCTTTTATATTCGAGGTTAATTTGTCTTCGTGTAATGATATTTGAAGATATATAGTTTGATTTAATATATTTTATAATTTTCCTCTCTTCTACAATTTCGTGTAACTTTGATATTTCTTATATTTTATTTCACTCAATAATTTAGTGCATTTTCATAATTTAGTGCCTTACAGATTTTAAGTAGAATAATAATTCTGATTTCTGATTGATTGATTTAAATTTTATTTAATAGAGAGAGAGAGAGAGATTAGTTAAATTTTCCGAAATATTTCTTTCTTTATAAGAAGAGGGGAAAGGAAAAAGTAAATTCATTTCTGATACTGCATTATAGAAAATAAAAATGCACCCTTTTGAAGAGATTAATCCATTTCAGCGATCAATTTCCTTCAGTTAGATCATAATCTTTGGTAATTTACAAATAAAATGTACTAAATAATGAATTAATTGCAGATTAATAATGAATTAATAGCAGATTGAATCGTCCTAAAAAAATTTCTAGAATTTTCGTAAAATTTTAAAGCAAAAAAAAAAAAAGTCTGAAAGATTTCAGATTTTACATTACGCCCAAAGGGGCGCTTTTTTTTTAATCGTTTTTACTTTTTATTTGCTAAATATCATCTTCTTCGCACTTATACCACATAAAATTCAATTCAACAGCAACATCGCAAAATAATTTTAAAATGAGCATACCTTCAGAATTTCCGATATACAGTCTCGCGCGCTGGAGATAGAAGGATTTTTTTTTTTTTTTTTTCTTTTTCCCGTACAGTGTTGCCATTGCTCGTTAATTGAAATCGTTTAAGTTTGTAAATCAAAAATTCTTTAAAGTGTTACAAAAATATGAAATCGATAGTAAAAACAAGTTCCAAATTCCAAATTAGAGCTTCCAGATGCCCATATTTGGTGGAGGATTTACGTTATTCAAAACTGGATGGCTCTAGGTACCGTTGTTTTATCACAATGCTGAAACATACATAGATTTATGCAGATTCTTCATTATTCAATTTTTTTAAATATAACACAGGGCAATAATATTTGGTGGCAACAATTTGATAAGTGAAACGATCATTTAAATTTTTCGACGCAAAATGCCAAAAGGAATTTTTTTTTTTTTTTTTTTTTTTTTTTTTTTTCCCCAAGCGATTTTCAATAATCTTAGACAGCAAATTTTTGGCGAATCAATTATTTTTCTCTAACGTTTAAAGCAAAAATTTCGTTGGTTCACTATAAACAACGTTTTAAAGAAATTAAACATTGAAGAATCTGCATGAATGTAAGTACATTTCTCGCACTGTGTAAAAAACAACTGTCCCTAGAGACATCAAATTTTGAATAACGTAGTCCTCCACTCGAATATCTGGAAGACCAAATTTGGAATTTGTGTTATTACCTATTTTATAATTTGCAAAACTTTAATGAATTTTTAGTTAACAAACTCAACGATTTCAAAACATGCATTGGCAACACTGTATAGAGAGGGAAAAAAAAGGAGTTATCTCCAACGTGCTAGACTTTTCATCGGAAATTCTAAAGATATGCTCTTTTTCAATTATTTTGTGATATTGCTGTCGATATGACTTTTATAGTTTAAGAGCGAAGAAAATGATATTATAGTAAATGAAGGTAACTCATAGAACGTTAAAAAAAGCCCCTTAGGGCGCAACATAAAGTCTGAGAGTTTTCAGATTTTATTTGTTTATTTTTTCTTTGCTAAACAGTTACTTGAGACGCGGTTATAGTAGCATACATTTAGATATTCAGATTGCTACGCATGCTTCTTTTGAAACAAGCGTTAAAAAAATGTTATGTAAACCAACATTTTCTTGCTCTATTTTATATGCAATATTTACATGCATGAATAATTGGAAATTTTGCGTGATATGAAAGAAGAGATAAATTTGTTACTGATTCAAAACTGCATCCCGAAACTTAGCAAGATAAAATTATATAATTATAAACGCTTTTACAGTTATTATCCTTACGTTAAACCCCAGAGTACATATGCACTTTAATCTAAAGTTAAAAGTAGAATGTGCAGTTCATTATAATCAAATAGTTTCCAAAATTAATTTTTCATTTTCTGTATTATTATTGACAGTTTAGCGTGCAATAAGATACTTGCAGAGGAAAAGAGAAATCATCGACTGAAAAAGGTGAAGATGAAAGCATATATTTAAAAAATTATTTTATTTACAGTTTTTTTATCCAGTTTTACGATATATAGGCAGTAAAAGTACGATACGATATATAGGCAGGTCATGGTGGTAAAGCTTCTCAGGTAAAACTATATAAGCAATTAAAAAAAAAGTTTTGCTCAGAAAGGGGATCAATAAATGGGCTTAAAATTGAAAGCTATTTCAATCTAAGAGAATTTTTCATTTGTGAGAAGTAATGATAACATTTAAGCAACATCAAATATTCATTCATTAAACAGGAATAATTTATATAATATTATTAGCTCAAAAGAACTGTATAGTAGTTAAATCGAATGAAATTCCTGTGAGGATAACCTGGTTTGAATGGATAAGAAAGAGGTAGTAGTTTCTTTATTAGGTTCAGCGAGGAAGCGTTTGTGTAGTAGCTTCCCTGTATCGACATTCGCTGACGAGGGGTTTTTCTTTTGCAGCAGACAGAACAGAGAGCAGCACGTGACAGCAGGTGAAGTCGGTCCCTTGTTTACGAAGGGCCATCCATCTCCGAGCGTGACTCCGCCCCGGACGACCTTGGAGCTCTACGACCTGTGACAGCGAACACCCCTCATCGCCCAATGGCTGGTTGCCGCGTCACGACCAGGCGGAGCGACCGGCGCGCCGCTCCTCGCTCGATGATCGTTCGGCTCTCCCCTGTCTTCACAACACGCGGCGTCGCTCGCCGAGTTGAGATGTTCTTACACCGATGGCTAGTTCGAGCCCGTACCTCTCGTCCACCGGCTTGGTGAACGCACTTGCCAGCGGTCCCGACAGCCCAGGAATGCAGGTCGCTACTTCGCAGGCCGCCTACGCCCGAGAGCCTCCTGAGATGAAATATATGCCGCCCCAGCACCAGAGTCACAACGGACATCATGCGCTTGCACCGCAGCACCACTGGGTCAGCTTGCCGCCCCATAACGATGCTTGGTCGGCAGCAATGCCCCCGCCTGGGCTTCATGCTGCTCAGGATGTGAAGCCTCCAGATTTGCACAGCGTCCACCATCGTCCACCCCAACACATGGCTGCATCTCATCCATGGCACCATTCGTCTCTTGCTTCTTCGCACATGTCCGGCATGGGAGGCCATGGTGGTAATGGAGCATCACCCCACCATCACCTACAGCACTATGGCATGAATGGCATGCTAGGAGGTCATGGTTCCCAGCTGCATCCAGCAATGAGAGAAATGCAACATGCGGAGCATCCACACCACCACCACCACCATCACCATCCTCACGAAGAGCATCCACATCCAATGGATCATCCACATAGACATCCTGATGACTGCGGGCCATTAGGTGGTGGTGAAGAGGCACCTAGTTCGGACGATCTAGAGCAATTCGCAAAACAGTTCAAACAGCGTCGCATCAAGCTCGGTTTCACGCAAGCAGATGTCGGACTGGCCTTGGGCACTTTATATGGAAATGTATTCAGTCAAACTACTATCTGCAGGTTTGAGGCCCTGCAGCTCAGTTTCAAAAACATGTGCAAACTGAAACCATTACTGGCTAAATGGCTGGAAGAAGCAGACAGTACTACGGGTTCCCCAACCTCCATAGATAAGATAGCCGCCCAGGGGCGGAAAAGGAAGAAGAGAACGAGTATCGAAGTGTCTGTGAAAGGAGCTCTAGAGAATCATTTCCACAAACAACCTAAGCCAGCGGCTCAAGAGATTGCCAGTTTAGCGGACAGTCTTCAGCTAGAGAAAGAGGTGGTTAGGGTCTGGTTTTGCAATCGTCGCCAGAAGGAAAAACGTATGACACCTCCCATGAATATGGGTGGTGGGGGTGGCCAAATGCCGCCTGGAGGTGATGGCGGACTCATGATGGGGGGATCTCCCCTGCACGCGCACAGCCCCAACAACCTCATGCAATCGCCACCACCGCCTCCGCATTCCATGGCGGCGGCCCACTGACCCGTGGCCGGGGCCGCGGACTCCGTCCATCACTACGCCGGCCAGCCGACGGACGACCTCCCGCCTGACCGCGAGCCCCTACCGACGACTACACAGTTTTTCTTCTCGCTCCTCAGAGGTTCCGCCCTGGAACCTGCCTCGTACAAGTGTACATGAATTCGAATACTATTTTTTTTTTCCTTCATTCCGATAGACCATTTTGAATACTGAATCTCTCTGGAAGAGAAGAGAGCGGAAAGAAAAAACAAAAAAACAAATAAACTTCATGATCTTTTTTGTGTGCCAATCTTCGGTCCTCTTTTTTTGTACAGAAGGGGCGGCTTCGAGCAAAATGATCCTCAACCCCCTCGTTTTCAGTGTATGGCATCGGACCTAAATCACTGCGGTGACATCCACCTCACAAAGGTAAGTTGCTCTTTTTAATAATTATTAAATTTTGTTAAGTAAAATTAATCTATATACCAAAGTATAACATTACATTTAATGTGATGTGTATCTATACGAGTGTCATGTAATTAAGTCTTAGTTAATTATTCTGGTGGTTTGATTAAATTGTCGGCTAACTGAATAGTACTGTATACTAAAATTGCTGACTGCGATTGCTAACAGAAAATTGCTTTTAGCGAAGAGCGAAATGTGCATACAGAATTAAACAGACTGTAAAAATAACCGTGTAAACAAACACCTCTAAACCACTGTACTGGTCAGTTGTTAGCTTACGAACATGTGAATACTGTAGTGAATAGTATTTAGCCAACCGGCTGCACTGTTTTTGTATTATTTGCTTATACGTATTTAATAATCTGTGAAGTCTATGGGTATTGTTATAGATGTCCTAGGATCATTGTGAATGTGTAACATCTGAAAATATGTTCTGTATTGTGACAAACTATATATAGAAACTGCAAATATTGGATAAGCTTTATAAGAATATAGCTTATGAATTGCAAGTGTTGATGTAATGGGAGAACGTGGAGAATAAACAATACGTATTGTTCAAGAAAGATGTATTTTAGTAGAATGTGAAAAGTGGAAAGATATTGGAATCGAAAGTAAAACGTTGCTTCAGATTAATGAAAAGATATAGAAAGTAAAATATTGATTCCTATTAACGCAGTAGTTAATTCATATTCGAATAGGGTAATGTTTTAAAATAGTAGGACACTGCATATTATAGAGGTAAATTCTCCTTCTGTTGAAATTATTCTGATAATATAAACGAAAATATTTTGCTAACTTTTAAAGTTTGCTTTTATCTGTTTTAGAAAAACGAGCTCTGCAACTCTGTTTAAAGAAGCAACATTTTTTATACATTATCTAATATATTCTGTTAATGACAACTACAAATGAATTCAATATCACCAGTAGAAGAATTTCTTTCTTACATCTAATATATTTTTGAAGTTTCTTTGGAATAGAACAATTTGGAATTATTTTATATAAAAATATCCTGTAGATATCAAACCATTAACAATACTGCATTATATAGAAGTCAATTAATAAAATATATGCATAATTACAAAAATATTTTCAAACACGGAAAATTGTCTGAAATTTCGAAGTAACTGAAGGTAATATTTTATACTTGAATGATCACGAATCCTTATTTTTTTCCGAAAATAAATAAATAAATAAATCAAATATTTTGTATTGTTTGTCACTTACGTAAAGGGTTTTTTCATACTGTATATAGACAGGTATATAAATAAGTATCATTACTAAAATAATTTATGAACTTAGTTGTTGTAAATTCGATTTCTAATTCTTCTATTCATTAATAATTCCAATTCTTCTATTTATTAATAATATGACATAATTTAATTAAAATAACGATTGTTCTAAAAAAATAACGATTTAATTATAAAGTACAAATAAACCTGAAATCACTGTATTTCAAGAATTCTTCTATTTGTTAACAATTCTAATTGTTATGTTTATTAATAATATAACATAATTCAATTAAAATGTTGCTCTAATAAAAAATAATGATTTAATTATAAAATACAAAATAAACCTGCAATCATTGTATTTCAAGAATTCTATTTTTTAACAATTCTAATTGTTCTATTTATTAATAATATAACATAATTCAATTAAAATGTTGTTCTATTAAAAAACTAACAATTTAATTACAAAGTACAAAATAAACCTGAAATCATTGTATTTCAAGACTTCTAGCGTCTTAAAATATCTTAAAACACAAGCAAAATAAAAATGTATCTTGATTTTGACATTAGGCAGTTAATTGTTAAACGAATAACTGATTGCTGAATTGCATTTATTAATTTATTAAATGTATAATTGGTAGTTGAATTGTGTGACAATTATTAATTGGTGTGATTTCCAATACGTAAGATAAAAAAATAAAAGCCCTCGTTTCACTTCCAGTTGACTTTCCAGTTTATGATTAACTTCCACATAATTTCAAAAGACTTAAAATTCTTCCTTTTCTTTTTTGTTTTTCGAGATTATGTGCGTCTTTAAAATTATAGCTGTTTAAAAGATTTACATAATAAATGTGATTTTGTCAAACCTCAATCCTGTAAAATCCTGATTAAAATCTGTTGAATTTTCAAATGCATCTTATCGATCATTGTGTCGATCACTGGAAAAGAGTAATAGATTTCTTCGATCTAAAATAATAAGAAAGTTCCATTTCCAAATTAGATGATCTTCGAAGTGAGCTAGTGTATTTCATGTACTTTTGTATTTTTCGTTAAACCTGGCAACGCTTTAATCATATGTGCTGTTCTAGATCATATCACTGTCCTTTATTAATATCTATGAGGATAAATTCTCTTATGGAATAGATTATATCTGTCACGTCTCAAGATGTCCGTAAAAAATGCATTCTATTTGAAGATATAAATCTAAATCTTGATGAATTTAGGTTGTAAATTTGCCTCATTAATAAAGTGCCTTGCTGACATTTCCTTACGATATTTCGATCATTTGTGATAAATAAAAAAAACACATCTCAAAATTAATCTTAAAAGAAAATAGGAATTGTGAAAGTAATACTAATTTTTAATTATAATAAATAAATAAATAAGCAATATTACTGTTACGTTTAAAAATACTGAGCAGTCTCAGTAAAAATAATGATCATTAAATAAATGAATGTCTTCTATTCTTAAAATAATGTAATCAAAAATGGTGCCCAAGGCTTTGGCCTCTTGGGCTCCTCTACCATCTTGGAGGACAAGTGTTTATTAGAAATCACCTAAACTTTTTATTAATAATGTTTACTTCAAGTACCTCTTACATACTGTTCCTGCGAAGATGTAACTTCTGACACTTTTAAATTTCTAATTGTAACTAGTGTTGGCAAATGTAAAATAAATGTCTTTTTAAAAATATAGATTTAATTATAATTTTTAACTTCTTGTTATATTTACATGAAGGTGTCAGATATCTCCCCCCCAAAAAAATTGTTCTTCCAGTGATTCGGATTCATAAAATGGTTATGCACCTTTTATTTAAATTAATTTTATAATTTGATATGATGTGGAACTGGAATGCCCAAACCCTTTTTGCCATGGGGCACTTTAACGTGGTTAATTAGTGGCCCAACTGCTGTTACATATTTTGTTTAAAGAAAAATTAAAAAAGAGCTGTATGATTAGATTTTCCAAATTTATACACAGATAAGCTTATTTAATGAACTGTAAAATTTGACGTAATAAATACACAAGCTAATATTAATAAAAAAGTCATTTATCACACTAATTTATTTTTCGTCTGTAGGCTAAACGCTCAATTTAACGATTAGATAGGGATGTTTTGCGTATTTAAGTATTCAGCGTCTGCTCGTATTTGATGCAGAAATGTGCAGAATCTCTGGTAAAATACTCAGCTTGTCAGAAGATTTTTTTTAAAGGTTTTCCATTTTTTAGAAACAGTTATTCGCAGAGCAACCAAATCTTTTGTTCTCTATTTAAAGGTGAGAATTTTAGATCGCTGCTTTTGAAATGCAGCTCATATTTCTGCGGTTAAGCTTCGAGTTGCGGTGAAAATGCGACATCAACTATGTTCCGAAAAAAATTTTGTATGTTAGCTCACCTTAGGAAGGACAGTGTCCAGTGATATTTTTGTACTTTGAAAATTTTATTTTGTAAATATGCTTCACTTTTTAAATCTCGGACTTTTTAAAAAAATTTCAAATAATATTAATTTGGCTGGATTTGAGCCCACCGGCTTATGTTCGATGAACCTGTAAAGGAACAAAGCCTGTAAAACGAAGATGGATAGTCACATGAAATGTAGTTCTTTGTCTGGGAAAAATTGAAGTATTTTAATGCCTATGTCAAAAGTTAAACTTCAGAACGTTCAACAGAACTGTGGCAACTTTTGGACGTTAAAGGAAAAATAAACTATTAAAAAGCCATGGCCTTTCGAAATTTATTTATCCTTTAAACCAGGGGTTCTCAACCGGTGGTACGCAAGAGAAAAATAGGTGGTACGCAAAAGAAGCAAAGTATTTTTAACTATTAAATTCAAAATTTAAAACACCAACATCCTAAATCAGTTTTTTCTCTAACACTCGTAAATTTATGCAATCTGAGCTTTGTTCAAGAGTGTTGTTGGTGGTGGTACTAAAGGTTTTAAATTTTTGTTTAGATGGTACGCGTTAGTCAAAAGGTTGAGAAGCGCTGCTTCAAACTATAAGAAAACATTTTTTTAACTCCGATAATGGCAGCAGTTTTCAAAATTCAAACATGGCTGTGTGCTTTTAGTAAAATAAAGCATTATACTTGTATCTCATTTTCTTTTATGAATGCTTTTGCTTTTATTACGCTTGTTTTTCTAACAAATTATTCTCCGTGTTTCGTCTCTCAGATATATATGTGACAGCATTAAAAAAGTACGAGACCAAAATGTCTATTTAAATATTTAGAAGAATTGTCACGTTTGTTACAGATAACAGAATTATTGCCTGTGAAATCTTAGTAACAGATTTAGCCTCAGCAATTTTTATGCTAGTTATTTTGATTATGTTAAAACTCACGAAGGCTTTCTACCTAAGGAAAGCGATGCCTTCTTGGAAGATCTTTCAAGAAAAACTAGTTGACTATCATGCTATACATGGTGGCAAAGATGGAAACTCTCACGCAGCTAGCTCTGTTGTCCGGGATTTAAATTCGGATCAAATTACCAGTGTTTAGCGCTCCTATGTTCGGCCACTGGCAGGCTCTCATCTAAGCTCTGTGAAGCTCGCGTGTTGAGTGCGTTTTTATTCATAATATACTGCGATGCTAAAAAGGCTCTTAAGATGTTCCATAAAAAATGAGCTGGATAGAATGAAAATGTAATAAAAGATAACTGCAACATTTCTCTTATATACCTTGCCTAATTGTGTATCATATTCATACTTATTAAAATTATTTGCATTTAACGTTTTCAAA